AGGTCTGTGTGACCTTAGTTCAAGGAGAATACGGTGAGGACTTGATGTCCTGAGCTGCGTGCTCAGCGACTGGGTGTCCGGGACTGTGTGTCCTTGAATTTAAATACTCACCCGCTCCAACCAGACGTACAACTGAGACAACAGTTGGAACTGGTCTACCAAATCATTGTCTTCACCAACCTTACTGGTTCTATTTCCTCAACTCTTTCATTTCCTTGTTACTGTGTTGAGTGATTGTTCATATCTGTGTTTGAAGACCTTGAGTGAAGACTTTCTCAATTTCCTCGGTTTAATTTCTTTAGTCTGTTTGTCTTCATCTTGTGTTATCCTGTGATTACGCTTTCTGTACTCTGTGCTTGTCTTCATTTCATCATGATGATCATGCCTGTATTCTGCTATGCTTACTTCTGAGTACTTATTCCGCTGCAAGTAGTTCTTCGCTAAGGAATTTCCTCACTAACAAATTCCTCAGTGAAGAATTCATAAAAATCGCCTATTCACTCCCCCCTCTAGTCGATATAACGCACTTTCAATTGGTATCAGAGCAAGGTACTCCCTTGTTCTGTGTGATTTTGGTTTAACCACCTGGAGTTCTAGTTATGTCGGCCGCGGGTATGATCAAGGTCTCCGCTGGGTGTCCTACCTTCGATGGCACGGACTACCCCTACTGGAAGAATAAGATGCGAATGCATCTTGAAGCAATTGATAACGATCTCTGGTACGTTATGGAAAATGGTGTTCCCTCAGTCACACCTTCCCTGAATGCTGCTGATGTGAAGAGATTCAAGCAACTCGATTCTCAAGCGAAGAATATCATATGTGGTCATCTGAGTAAAGGGCAGTATGGTAGAGTGAGTGCTTTGGAGACTGCTAAGCTTATTTGGGATAGGCTCTCCAAATTAAATGAAGGAGTCTCAACTCAACGTGACTCTCGTGTTGACGTTCTTCGCAATCTCTTCAACCGCTTCAAAAGACTCGACGATGAAAATGTTCAGCAAACCTTCGATCGCCTCACTGATATCTCAAATGAGCTTCAAGCGCTCGGTGCCACTAACATCACCGACCATGAGATGGTGAAGAAATTGCTGAGATCACTTGATTCTTTATTTGACACTCTGGCCCTGATGATTCAAGAGCGTGCTGATTATAAGTCACTAGATCCCGCTGATATCCTCGAGAGGCTAAATACTCATGAGTTCCAACTTGCTGAAAAGAGAGATCTCTATGGTTCAAGCTATGGCAAACCACGTGCCTTGAAGGCCAAGGCTGTGTCTGAATCTGAATGTGAAGACTCTGATAGTAGCCTTGGTGATCCTGAAGAATTGAGCCAGGAGCTAGCACTGCTCGTGAAGAAGTTCCAGAAGTTCTCAAGACATGGTCGCTTTGGAAAATCCTCAAGGAGCAGTGATTCCTCATCAAGTGACTATAAGAGAAGGCTATGCCACAATTGCAAGAAGCCTGGTCACTACATTCAAGATTGTCCTCAGTGGAACAAGGAATTAAAGAAGAAGAAATACAAGGATTACAGTTCTGATGATGCCAAGAAGAAGAAGAAATCTTCAAAGTCTTCATCATCAAAATCCTCAAAGTCTTCATCTCACAAGAAAAGAAGCTCCAAGAAAGCTCGGGCATTCATTGGCAAGGAAATGGAATCTAAAACTGAATCTGAGGAACATGAGGAAGAGGAGGCATCCGAGGAGTTTGAGTCAGGTATGGCAAGTCTAGCTCTTGCTACCGCATTTGTCAGCAAGTCTATCTTCAACTCTGAAGAAAATGGCAACACCAACAACGCTGATGAAGATAATGATGACTACGCTCCCACCTATTGCTTCATGGCAAAGGGTGCCAAGGTAACTAAATACCCCTCCTCTGAATCTAGTGAGGATGAATCTGATGAAAATCTTAAGCCTAGCTACTCTAAACTTGCTAAGATTATTGTGAAACAACAAAAGGCTATTGAAAAGCTTCAAAACATGCTAGACAAAAGTGATGATATGTTGGGTGATGAAATGGATCGCACTAAAGACTTAATTGAAAATCTTTAGAGACTTCAGTCTAAGTTTGACAGCCTTCAAAGTCATCATAACACTCTCTTATCTGATCACGAGAAGCTTTCTTATGAATTTCTTCAAAGAAAGCAAGTTCTTGAGAAGCTAAGAGTGAGTTATGAAGATCTTCTGAAGGATCGCGATTCATTACTTGCTCAACAAATCAGCGCTACTCAGGAAGAATTTGTTCCTCCATGCTTAAAGTGCATTGAACGTGAATCTGCTAATTCTTCACCTGAATGTTCAAATGCTTCAACTGTTACAAATTCTTTACCTGCCTCTACTATCACTAATTCCTCATCTGAGGACATTGCTAGTATCACTAACAATGCAGGGCTGAAGGAATTGTACACGACAGACATGTAGAAAATCCTCAAAGGGCATCAGATTCTTTGTGATGTGCTCAAAAAGCAGATCCTCAACAGAAACCCTAGGAAAGAGGGTATTGCCTTTGAGAGGAAACTCAATGCTGATGGAACATATTGGAAGCCTGAGCAGTACCTGATGACAGTGGCTATAAAGTGGGTGGCTGGTGGGTTGCGATTTTCTTCGTCTTCTGTATCCCACATTGGTTGGACATAGCTCGGTCAGGAGTCTCCTGACAAAGAGAGAGACCTTAATGAATTCAGCACGTCTCCGAAGGGTGAGTGCTGAAAGATATCCGCAGCGGCGAACTCCATGACGGGAGCCCAATTAGATTCGATGGGCACGGACGCGCATGGTCCGGAGCACACTACCGGAGACAAGTTCGGGGGTCCGAAGGTACAAATTTCTTGGAGAGAGGAGTCTGTGTTCGGCTCCAACGCCGATGAGGATGCGGCATTCGGGGCGGGGTCCATCCATCCGCCCTCGGGAGGCACGACCTGCTCTGCAACAAAGTCCGGAGCGGTGGCAGGTGCGATGTTCCGAATACTGTCCGACTGCCGATCTAGGTCGTGCACGTCGTGATTGTTCGGCACTCCTGACACGGGTCCGAATCCGTCGAAGATCAAGTCTCCGCGGACGTCGGCGGTGTAGTCTCGGTTTCCAAACCTGACCTGATGGCGGGGGGCGTAGTTATCGATCTGCTCCAGATGACCAAGCGAATTGGCCCGCAGTGCGAAGCCGCCGAACACGAAGATCTGTCCGGGGAGAAAAGTCTCGCCCAGGACAGCGTGGTTGAAGGTTGGAGAAGCCATCTAACCTTGTAGCGACGGCACAGAGGAACTCTCAATGAAAGAACCAATGTCGGTGTCAAAACCGGCGGATCTCGGGTAGGGGGTCCCGAACTATGCGTCTAAGGCTAATGGTAACAGGAGACTGGGGACACGATGTTTTACTCAGGTTCGGGCCCTCTCGATGGAGGTAATACCCTACTTCCTGCTTGATTGATCTTGATGATATGAGTATTACAAGAGTTGATCTACCACGAGATCAGAGAGGCTAAACCTTAGAAGCTAGCCTATGGTATGATAGTTGATGATGATCGTGAGTCCTATGGACTAAACTCTCCGGTTTATATAGACACCGGAGGGGGCTAGGGTTACACAGAGTCGGTTTACAAAGAAGGAGATCTACATCTGAATCGCCAAGCTTGCCTTCCACGCCGAGGAGAGTCCCATCCGGACACGGGACGAAGTCTTGTGTCTTGTATCTTCATAGTCCAACAGTCCGGCCAAAATATATAGTCCGGCTGTCCGGATACCCCCTTATCCAGGACTTCCTCAAGGGGCGACACACACCACGATTCCCAAGCCGTGTACGACACCCCCTCTCCCTCTAGTTCGTCCTCGGTCATAATTTTTGTAGTGCTCGGCGAAGCCCTACGAAGATTGTTGCACCACCACCGTCATCACGCCGTCGTGCTGCCAGAACTCATCTACTACTTCGCCCATCTTGCTGAATCAAGCAGGCGAGGACGTCATCGAGTTGAACATCTGCTGAACGTGGAGGTGTCGTGCGCTCGGTGCTTGATTGAAACGGATCGTGAAGGTGTACGACTACATCAACCGCGTTGATAAACACTTCTGATTAACGGTCTATGAAGGCACGTAGACACACTCTCCCTCTCTTGTAGCTATGCATCTCCATGGATAGATCTTGCGTGTGCGTATAACTTTTTTTGTTTTCCATGCAACGTTCCCCAACACTACCGGTGCACCGGATGCCCGTAATGCATTTAAAAATGTGCTAACAAAATTTCAAAAAACAACATATTCACACAACAAAGCTCTATGTTGTCGCAAAAATTTAAATGAAAATTGCCCCCATTCTACAATGCAGTGCGCCCGCGCTTCCCGAGATTCAACTTTGACCGTAAATTTAATTACCGAGACCGACTACGGCGGGAGCAAAAATTATACCACTGAATTCGTATTTTCAATATGAAGTTAGTGATATAGTTTTTGTCCCCGCTGCAGTCGGTCTCATTGATTAAATTTATGGTCAAAATTGGATTTTGGGAAGCGCAGGCGCACTACATTGTGGAACGGAGGGAGTACATAACATAAGTTGAACTTTAGATTTAACCCATTATCACATTTATATAAAATTTGTCATTTTACATCTCGTGCAATGTTTTGAATTTTGACATGAAATTGTGTGACAACATGTATTGACGTTGTGTTTATGTTAGATTTTCAAAAATATTTTAAGAAGCGCTAAGGCATCCGGTGTACTGGTAGCACCACAAGCACCTGTGCACCAGGGCAGGCAGCACATACCAGATCTTAGCAGGACAGCACACATATGTTACATAAAAAGCTAATGGATCTTAGCAGCAGCAGCATCTCAAGTTGTAGTAACCTGACAACAACATAGTTAATTAATAAACAAGTTGGGATTCACCCAAGTGCTACCATGTACAGACACACACACATAGTACTAGGACTCTACTACTAGCAAGTTTGAATTCAAGAATCTTAAAGACAACACAAAGCCAGGACTAGAAATTCTTCGTCGTCGTCGTCATCATCAGCGGCAGTTCCCTGCAGACCCTGAGAGCAAGGGTGGCAGTCGATGCAGCTTGCCTCCCCGCTCCAGCTCGAGCCACGCAGCTTCAGACCGGTGCGGCTTCAGCCAGACGCAATACGAGCGCCCGGCCTGGTGCTCCAGTCGGGCAGCTGCACGTGGCAGTTCATTGTCGTCAATTTTCATCAAAAGGATATAGTGAAGAAGCGGAGCACAAAGATCACGGGGCTAACCCATGTCCTGGTCGTCGACCCACGTGCTGGATACCCCCACGCCATTCTCTTCTCTTGCAGCCCACGTGGCGCCACTCGCGTTCCAAGGAGCCAGTGGCGGCAACAGGCGCCCCTCCTGCATCTCACATATGCAAGGGGGAACAGCATTGCCGAGAACAAAGAAACCGAGCAAGGGGGCAAGGCGGCGACTAGCTCTGCCATTGACCTCTCAGCTTCTTTTCATGTGATTATGGACTTCTGAGGCCCACGCAACTGTCTGCAGCTCACTCCACCGTTCAAGGAGTACGGTGCCCCGCCTGCATCTCAATGTGCAGGGAGGAACAACACCGAGAAGCGCACGGGAATGACAGGATCAGGCGGATGACTAGCTCGGCCCGGCGCTTCTCGGCTCTTTCATGCCTGCTCCTGCCAGCCAGAAATGAGAAGGATGTCTCATCCGATTTGAGTTGGAAGTTCGGCCCATGCTGGCAGGAGCAGGCACGCCCAGGCCCCTCACCGGGGCCGGGCTAAGCGTAGACTAGCTTCAGATTGTTGTTGGTGGTGAGTCTGCAAAAACATGGGGTGTGTAAAAACAGAAGGAAACTCTGCAAGTACATAGTTTAAGGATTCAATTTTATGAAAAAGTTTCATGCACACACTTCCCACTTTCCAACCTCATAGATATGAATTTATAGTGTATACTGCCTAGGTAACATTTCACATCTCCAAATATAGAAACTAAAATCATTACAAAAATGTCTACCACTGAACACTCGAGGTAAAAAACAAAAGTTGGCTTGCTTAAAGAGAAAGATTGTATGCCAAAAACAAAAAAAGGAAGTAATACAGTCAAAGGCAGGAATAATATAACTATATATCATGGTTAGTAGGTACTCCCTCCGTTCCAAATTACTCGTCGCTGAAATGGATGCATCTAGAACTAAAATACATCTAGATACATCCATACGTGAGACAAGTAATTCAGAACGGAGGGAGTAGTAGGTACTGGTGGAACATATAGAACCGCTATCAAAAGATTACTCTAGGAAATCAGCTCAGTACGAATGATAGGAAAAAACACAGACCTGTGCAAATGATCGCATGGAATCCTGTGGATGTACAAATGCGACTCCTGGGCGTGAAGGCATGGCATATTGCTGGGAAGCATGCATGAAAACAGAAGACCTGACAGGAGCACCAGCTTGACCAGGACTGTAGGGTGGCATAACACCATCTGGAGGCCTGTAGCCAACTGCATTAGGTGATTGAGCCGGCGACCAGGGCCCAGGCATGTGCTGAGCCATTGGATGAGGCTGCTGCTGTTCAACAGGAACAGGAGACATTTGAGGTGACCCAAGCTGGGGGAACTCAGTGTTGTAGGTAACAGCAGGAGCATACAGAGGTTGAATGGTGTACGCGCCGCCATTAAATCCAAATCCAGGATCAAATCTTTGCATATACCTGAAATGGCCATTCAGCAGTAAGTGAACTTGTCATAAAAGTCCATATTCAAAAGGGTTTATAAGAACATAATAATAAGCTTAAAACCTTGGCACGTATATATACTTCTTTAGAATAAGATTGACAAGTATCTGAAATAGTAAGATTACAGCTTAATCATCTTCATCAGAACAAGTGAAATATTTTGATAAGATTTTTCACCACTGAACCCACTTTAAATATACTGTTTACATGTTTCACATGAATTCCCTCCAATCATCAGCAATCAATGCGAAGTTAATAATGTACAGATCTAATTTCACAGATCCTATCAATAATCGAAAGAAATATGATAGATCACAGACTTAACCACATACTTTGGTGGTTTAAGGAGAAAAGGTGCATTAGGAATAATTAAACAGCAGAGCCAGACCATAAAACATGGAACTACACTGAGGCAACATAAAAACCAGGTCCTACTGATTACGACACAGGAAACTCCAGCTCAGATAGCAACAATAAAAACTGTGTTATGTGAACAAACCTGTCATAGCTTCTGTCATAATCAGGATCCTTGCGATCAGAGTCACGGTCTCGAAATATCGCCACCCTATTGCCTTGCCTGCCCCTATTGACTGGAGGCTCCTTGTCAATCCTGCTTCTATTATTTGATCTGCTGCTAGATGCAGTGCTAGTCAAACTCCTTTCGAGGGTAGCTTCAGTCAATTCACCGAACCTGGTGTTTGAGTTCAACTCCAAGGAAGTGGACCTATGTAGGGTGTTGGGCAAAACCACCTCATCAGCTGGTCTTCCATCAACCGGACTAGTGCTACCACTACTGCTGTTAAATATGCGAGCACGTGCCCTGTTGTATTCCTCTTTCCTCTCCTCGACGCTTTTCTGAAGGTTGCCTCTGTTAGAGTTGGCACCTGCGCCTGCGCCGCCGTGCTGATTCTTCTGCGGCCTTTGCTTAATAGCTACTTTGGTGGCCACAGCGCTGCTCTCTTCTTGAGGGAGATTAACAGGAATATCAGCTAGGCGGACGGCAGGCAATCGGCACTCCGCCGACGTTTTGCGAAGGATGATCCGAGAGCTGGTTCCATCAGGCAGGCTGTTATCCGGCAGGGCGATTGATATCAGGAAATAATGCTGTGCCAGACGGTGCGCAGCGAGACGCAGGTACGAAGTCGGAAGGCCCTGGAACTCAAACTGCGTCTGCCCGGGGTCACGAAGGAACTTGAGAATGTCTTGCTCCATCCGCAGCACTGCAATGAGAGATATAAGATTGCTATGAGATTATAAAACTATTCAAGCAATGTTCAACTATCAGTTCATATTTAGGAATCTAAATTACATAGTAAGACAAGATGCAGATACATGATGCAACACAGCAGGTTAAAGGGGGGAAGTCCGATCAACGTAAAGCAGCTGCCTATGAAACAATTCAGAGCGTTTAAATGTTTTCAATAGCTGACATGATGGTACTTGAGCAATCCAGACGAACAGACAAGTTAGACGCCGCTATCTTAGCACATGCCTTGCATCGTTTTCATGCCCAAGAGTTGGTACAAAATCGCCACACAAATTCGTCAACATGCAGTTGGACTTACACCGCCAAGTAAAGTAATCGCAAACAGGAAGGAACAGAACAGGCTTCGGAGCTATGTCGCGTTATGATGCTCCACAGCATGCATGTTCCCAGGCTTCCAGCAGGAAGCCATGGCGTGCGTCGGCACGCCAGAATACAAGCTAGCGCCGCCTATGGATGCGCATGGCCCGACAGCACACGCAAACTCCTTGTCCTGCACAAGTACCCACAACCCTACTACCTATAACGACAAACCACGGAGCTAGCTAGCCCCAGCCATGGGCGCGCCTGACCTGACCTCACCTACGCGCGGTGCTCATAGCAAGGACGCGGGAATTCTGCACGGTTTCCATCCATCCGAACAAGCGCCCGGAACTCTAGCTGGATGGCGCGAGCCGCAGCAACCGAGAGCTACGGAGCAAACCCGTGTGTATCTAGTAAGAGAGGAGGAGGAGGAGCGCGGAGTGGGGCGGTACCTTGGAGGCGCTCGCGGGGCTTCTCGAGGGCCTCGCGGAGGAAGTGGTCGACCTGCGCGGGCGGATCGTCCCCGCGCGCGGGGTCCTGCTCCTGCTCCTGCTGCGCCTGGCGGTCGTCGGCGAGGTCGGGCGAGGAGGAGACCCTTCGCGCGGTGGGTGAGGCCGAGGAGGAGGAGAGGAGCAGGCGGCTCATGGCCCCGTCGAGGTCGGCCGTCTCCCACGAGTCGGGCGCCGCCGCAGCTACCGCCGCGGCCGCGTCCTCCTCCATGCCTGCTGTGCGCGGCCCGATCTGCTCGCAGCTGGCGAACTAGAAGCCGGCGAGGAGGCCAGCGGCTGGAGCGGCCATCGGGGGGCGCGGGTCGGCGGCGAGATCTGGGGAGGCGCGCGGCGGGGGGCGAGCGAGCTGGCTAGGGTTTGGTCCTCTGGTGTGGATTTGCGGGGTGCGGTGTGGGGAGGAAGAAGGGTAGAGATAGAGTCGAACAGGCCAGGGGAATCTCATCTCAGCACGCACGCGGAGTTACCCTCCTGCCCCCGCGCCCGGCCCCTCTGGCCGGGGGCGTTTCGGGGATTCGCTCGCCCGGGTCGGGGTCGGGGTCGGGGTCGGGGTCCGGCTCGTGGTGCACGTGCCGGGTCCGCTCGGGTCGGGGTTGGTGTGCCTGCCGTACGCGTAGCGGTCTGCTCTCACGCGCTTCAACTCGCCTTGAGCTTCGCCCACGGCACGTTACGTGCGGTGCGGTTGCGTTGCCTTGGCCTCACGCGGGAGACATTCCTTCCCTCCATCGATCCATCCATCCGTTCGCACCTGGGATGGGCAGCCATGGCCGGCCGGCGAGGGAAAGGACATAGCATGCCGTGTGTTCTCAGCAGGCCGACCCCTCTCCTCTCCTCTCCTCCCCTCTCCTTTCGCATCCATCAACGGCGCGCCGTGAGCGGAGCCCCGCCGCCGCCTCGGCGAGGTCATGGGCGAGCTTGCGGAAGCGGTTGCCGGGCAACCGTCGATTTGTTTTGGACCGGAAGATGACGCGCGCCCGTCGCCTGCATGCGTAGCAAATCGCTGCCTCAAGGCTTTTGTGCGATGTCGGTTTTTGTATTAGGCTCGGACCATCGGCACACCTAACATGGTGGCTTCACACTCCTTTACATACTATTTTGTAAAGTCTTAATGAATAATTAATAAAACAGTTGTATGCATCATCCAGATGCAAAGGCGGCGGTAATTGCCACGAGGAAGAAAAAAAAGGGGCGGTGATTGACGCCAAACCCACAGGGGTCGTCATTAACTGGAGAACCCATGCATGTCCAGTATACTCAACAGCTTCGGCCGGCCTGATGTACATTGACTAGTCGATGATGCGTAAATTAAGGCTGTGTTTGATAGCAAAGTATTGTATAAACCAAAGTATCAAAAACTGCAGTAATTTTGCCAGTGGGTATGAGATACCATGGTTTTATTAAAACAAAATATTTCGGAGTATTCACAATACATAGAACTTGTTTGGTTGTTCCCACACATCAATGAAAATTTTGCTGCCTAACCATTGCGTTTAAGCACTCAACAGCTATGTTTTGTAAAAAGAGGTCTGGGGTGCTTTTTTTTATGCATAGATATTAAAACCACAGTTGTTAGGGGCAACCAAACAGCTAATTTCAAATAAAACTGTGGTAACCTCAAAATACTTAGAAAATAATTTGCTATCAAACAGGGCCTAAATCTCCCAATCGATGTGGCCTTAGCCTTGGAGCTCAGCCAGCGTCTGCCTTCTGCTTTGCTAGACTTATAGTCTCTCGTGTGTTCCACATTGATAGAGTGCTGCTTGACAAACTTGTTCTGCTCAGAGAAATAGTCTCATTGTAAATCATCTCTGAGTTTCAGTTCGGAAATAAGGATGAGCCCAAATTGGATCATGCTCATTCAGACAAGGGTTGACTTGATTCGCGAAAAAAAAAGAGATAAGGGTTGACTTGACCAAGTTTAGCAAAATCTACCTCTGATAGCTTGTTAACAGGCTTGAAGGATCTCTGACGCAAAGCAATGGACTTCTGATGTTTGTGTCTGCTAGATTGGTTTCACAAACCCTCTGGGCTCCTTCTCTTTGCTGGCTCTCTTCTTCCTCGACTGACCACGAGAACCACTACATGCACACAAGAATAGATAGGGGGTACACAACATATCTCTACTCCTTTAAAAGACTAAGTTGGTAATGATGGTATGTATGCCATTCGTCAATTCTGAGCATCCGATCTGCATGACTGCATCTAACGCACGCGAGGCAAGCAGTCATATTTTTGTGAAATGACTCCTACCACTCTGCTCTACACTTGGAGAAAACCCCTTAGTCTCTCCAGACCATCCCCGTCTCTCCCTCATCTCATCCAAAACATATATGAGACATAAATTTTGGGAAAACCTAACATAATTTTAGTGATATATTTACCAAAAATGAAGGGAAGCCTTGGCACAGTGGTAAAGGTGTTGCCTGTAACCATGAGGCCATTGGTTCAAGTCCTAAAAATAGTCTTGCAGAAATGCAAGGAAAGGATGCGTACAAAAGACCCAAAGTGGCTGGACCCTTCCCCGGACCCGCTGCAAGTGGGAGCTATGTGCACCAGGCCGGGCCCTTTTTTCCGCATACCCAAAATAGGGTGATCGTGTATTAGTCTATGTGTATCAGTTGCAACGCATGGGCACTTTGCTAGTGAAAGATAAGTACACAAGTCCACATAATTGCACGAAGTAAAAGCAATAATACACATCTATGGGGCATGCCTTGTTTACATCTTTATAATCGACACACTGGCGCCAGGACTTGTCTTTCTTGGGCACCATAACCAGGTTTGCCAGCCAGTTCGGGTGCTTGACCTCGTGGGTGAAACCAGCATCCAATAATTTGGTGAGCTCCTCCCCATGACTTGTCGCTTCGGTTCAGAACATGTGAAAGGATCGATATAGTTGACTAGAGGGGGGGGGGTGAATAGGCAACTAACAATTTTTAATTTTCTTTAACAATTTAAACTTTGCATCAAAGTAGGTTGTCTAGAAATGTAACTAAGTGAGCAACCTATATGATGCAACAACGATAAGCACACAAGCAAGCAAGAGATATAACACAAATAAGCTTGCACAAGTAAAGGCACGGGATAACCAAGAGTGGAGCCGGTGGAGACGAGGATGTGTTACCGAAGTTCCTTCCCTTTGAAGGGAAGTACGTCTCCGTTAGAGCGGTGTGGAGGCACAATGCTCCCCAAGAAGCCACTAGGGCCACCGTATTCTCCTCACGCCCTCACACAATGCGAGATGCCGTGATTCCACTATTGGTGCCCTTGAAGGCGGCAACCGGACCTTTACAAACAAGGTTGGGGCTCTCTCCACAACTTAATTGGAGGCTCCCAACGAAACCACGAAGCTTCACCACAATGGAATATGGCTCCGAGGTGACCTCAACCGTCTAGGGTGCTCAAACACCCAAGAGTAATAAAATCCACACAAGAAAGTATGGGGGAAGCAAATATCCTTTGGTGGAAGTATAGATCTAGGTCTCCTCCTTCAATCCCTAGCAAATCAACAAGTTTGAGTGGCTAGAGAGAGATATCGGGCAAAGAGAGCTTGAGAGCATCAATGGTGGAGTGAGAGAGGTAAGAGGTGAGAGTGGTAGGTGGAAGAACCACCTTATACAGCAACCCTAATAAATCCAACCGTTACTGCGTTTTCAGCACTGCAGCGGTACAATCGCTCTTTGTCCCGGTACAACCGGGACTCACGGTGTATCGGTAGAACCCTACCAGGTGGTACAACCGGGCCACCAGGCGGTAGCACCGGTTTAGTGAAGAACCGGACCAACCGCCCAGCCACCGCTCAACTACCGCACTGAAACAGAAAGGAGTCACCCCTGAGGGCGGTAGTTGGGCGGTGCAGGACCGGTGCAACCGCATGGCCTTGAGCGCCTGTGCGGCTAAGTTCTGAGTGGAAGAACCACTCAGACCACTAGTGGTACCGGTTGACGAGGAACAACTGGACCAACCGGGCCACCACCGCTCGAGAACCGCATCAAAACAGAGACTTGACCGGTACTTGGGCGGTGCATGGTCGGAACCACCGCCGTAGGTCTTTGCTGAGCCTGGTGGTGGTACCACCGCCCTGAGGCAGCGGTACCACAGCTCGATCAAGATAGGAAGGCGCCAAGAGCCAGTGGTACAACCGCTCGGGCGAGCGGTACAACTGCTGGGAAGCCACAGCAAGTAATCAGATGAAAAAGGGAGACGCTCTCTCTCTCACCTGAGGAAGACAAGAGAGGGGTGAGGGAGGTGTACATGAACAGATTCCCCCTACTCTTTCCAATGTGGATTCCCTCTTGATAGTACGGGTTCCCTACGACCAAAGAGATAAAAAGCGTAGAGGACTCCGTCTTCGATCTTTTCCTACGAGAGAGAAAAGCTATCCGATGTAAGCCTAAGCACCAGGAACCCGAAACATTTAGCACAAGATTAGACCAACAAAGGGTTGTCATCATCACCCAAAACATAAAGTAGGGAAATGTCCTTTCAATCTCCCCTTTTTTGGTGGATGATGACAACAACACGAATTGCAAGAGAGAAGTCTATAGAATCTAGTCAGAGCTCCCCCTAGATGTGTGCCCCAATTTGAACTAGCTGTTAAAGAGCATGGGCACACTTTAAGGGCGAGACTCCCCCTAGATTTTATAGACTCGCCACTATAAGCACATAATATGAAGGTAGACAATATAACGGATAGAGAGCAATAATACCAACAATAACCAACATACTGAAAATAAGATAATAGGAGTAGCACAAGTCTCACACAAAGCAAGTCGAGAAACGAAGGAAGACCACAAACAAAGTTCAACACTCAAGAGACACAAGGGAAAAACACGCAAAACCCATGCAACTCCCGAGTCCTATAAAACTCTCTCCCCCTTTGGCATCAAGACACCAAAAAGGAAAAGAGCGAAGCTAGCGCCCCAGAGCTCAGTCGTCCTCCTCTGACTCCTCGGTAGCATCTAGATCTGCATCATCATCAGACTCTTCATCATCGTCCCGACCTAAGTCCTCCCTGATATCATCAGCGGCAGCAAAGGAGGTGGATGGCTGAGGAGGAGCTTCATCATCATCAGTCCAGGTGCTGTGGGAAGATATCCAACGCTCCTCCGGTGTGATGCTCTTCTCAGAGCCACTCTGAACCGGCATGTTGAGGTGCTTCATCATTGCAATTTGGCGACGCCGGGCATGCTTCTCATTGACATGGGCCTCATA